TTCACCGTGTTAGCCAGGATGGTCTCGATCTCCTGACCTCGTGATCCATCAGTCTCGGCCTCCCGAAGTGCTAGGATTACAGGCTTGCAGTGAGCTGAGATCCGGCCACTGCACTCCAGCCTGGGTGACAGTGACACGCCGTCTCAAAAAAAAAAAACAAAAAAAAAAACATTTTTAGCTGTAACTTAGTCTTTTGACTGTAGGTGACTACAAAATTCTTTAATGGGAGAATTAATTATTTTAAGAGTCTGATTTTATTAGCATGCATCCTAGTTTTCAGTGTGATCTTTTGCATATACTTGTACAGGGAAGTACTGGTAACACTTGGTACTTTCTAAATATAAGTTACTAAAAGCCAATTGTAGTTGAATGTTCTCTGTTCAGTTTTTCAGTGCAAAGGACCAAGTGACCTTTTCATGAAAAACACTTCAGAAGAAACAGGTGTCTCCAGTAAGGGAGAAAGTTAATGTTACCTGCAGGGAATCTGATAAAGACCAGTTATTTACAAGTAGACGATATGGTTGGTTGAGTTCTTGGAATCCTAAAATCTCAAAAAGTCTTAGTGCTCTAAAAGTCCTTTTTTAAAATTGCCCCACGAAGTGGTTGTTAACAATCCCTTGTTTAAACAAAATTTCAATTTGTTTAAACAAATAGTACTATGTGCTCGCTGTCCAGGTGTAAAGTTGAACATTATAAAATGAGCCAGATAGAAAAAAGCACAGATAAACTTGGCACTCAGTGTATGTACACAGATGTCTGGTCAATTTATTGAATTTGTCTCATACAATGCTCTGTTAATATTGGGCATGTATTCTTATATATTCCTATGAAGTAGGTAACTTTTTACTATTTACAAATGAGGTGGCGGAATTTGGGAAGAAATTTTTAATTTACTAGGACCTGACCAGTATGCATAGTAGTTCTGAGCTCAGGGCTATCCTTTGACTCAGGTGTAAATGGATCTGCCAGCTCTTTAATCCCTGGGTTAATGCTCAGTAACTGTTAGACTGATAATCCTCTTTCCTATGATGCTTGAGAGCTGCTATATAACAATCCCACCCAGAAAAAAAAACCTAGAGTGAATTGGAATTTGGCCCAAAATGTATGAAGACTAGCTAGAATCACCACTTTGTTTCAACTTTTCAATAGCAAAGTAAATAGCCAATAAACACCTTTTAAGATTCCAGAAAAGTTCACTAAAGTCTAAGTTAACAGATAAAAAACCCCAGAAAATTATATTTTAAGATTAAAAGAATTTCAGGTAAGGCCGGGTGCGGTGGCTCACGCCTGTAATCCCAGCACTTTGGGAGGCCGAGACGGGTGGATTACGAGGTCTGGAGATCGAGACCAGCCTGGCTAACATGGTGAAACCCCGTCTCTACTAAAAAAATACAAAAAATTAGCTGGGCGAGGTGGCGGGCGCCTGTAGTCCCAGCTACTCGGGAGGCTGAGGCAGGAGAATGGCGTAGACCCGGGAGGCGGAGTTTGCAGTGAGCTGAGATCCGGCCACTGCACTCCAGCCTGGGCAACAGAGCAAGACTCCGTCTCAAAAAAAAAAAAGAATTTCAGGTAAATGTCTTAGGAAAATCGGGAATACTATGACTGGAAGAATCTTTAGGAATTTGAAAACATCCTCTTAAGCAAATGGGGGGAATCTCAGCTATTATATTACAAGTAGGTGAGTAAGTGCTTGAACAATGCCCAAGCTCTTGCCCTTTTTGACAGTCTAGAATCTTTAAGAGGAAATACGTTCAAATTTGCAAATATATCGAGGGCCTGCTAAATGCTGAGGATGCAAAAGTTTGCCCCAACTCAAAATTTAGCAACTATGAAGTGGGTACTGTTTTATGCCCTATTTTACAGGTAAGGAAACGGCAAATGAAGGAGGTAGACTTTGTCCCCATGTAGGCTAAATCGAAGGCCATTCTCTTAAGTGATACATAGAATAAATTAGAGCAGTTAATTTTGCCAGGAATTGTAGAAGTTGAAGTCTTAGCAGTAGTAGAAACAAATGGGGGTTGGGAGGGAAGACAAAATTAGGATTGAGGGTGATATTTTAGAAATCATAAGAAAAGCCTGCATGCAGTCAAAACCATGCTGCTCATCACCTGCTCAGTCATAACCTACCCCCTTTAATTCCACTGTCATCACCTATTCCTTTAGGCTCCTTCCTCCAAAGGGGCATCCAAAACTTTTCACTCACCACTTCTGCCCTAATGCAAGCTGCTATTTGCCATTTTCTTTTTCTTTCTTTCTTTTTTTTTTTCTGAGGCGGAGTTTTGCTCTTGCTGCCCAGGCTAGAGTGCAATGATGTGATGTCGGCTCGGCTCACTGAAACCTCTGCCTCCCAAGTTCAAGCAATTATGTCTAAGCCTCCCAGGTCGCTGGGATTACAGGCGCCAATCACCATGCCCAGCTAATTTTTTTGTATTTTTAGTAGAGACAGGGTTTCATCATGTTGGCCAGGCTGGTCTCAAACTCCTGACCTTAGGTGATCCCCCCCATCTTGACCTCCCAAAGTGCTGGGATCACCGGCGTAAGCTGCTATTTT